AAATCGCCTTCAATTCGCTCTCAACGTCTCCCATCTTCAATTTGCCTTCTGATTGTATAAGACTTATTATTCTTTGCTCTCTTCTTTGAATGCCCTTACTTAGGGAAAAAATAACAATTTCATAATTTACTATATAAATAAATGAATTTATCATGATTTTAATTGTTAATTTTTAATTAATAGTATGATTTCACATTTTTTTCCTCTAATTGAATGTATATTCTCAGCTTTAAGAGTAGCCAAATTTGCATTGAGAATATAATCTAAGTACCCCAAAAAAAAATTAATCCATTTTAGATATTGTAAAAACAGCTAAATAGGGATCCAAGCAACTTACGTAGTTTTTTTATATATACATTTGTAGTATTTTTTTAAGCTAGATTTGTAGATAGTTTGTATATGATTAAAGCCTACAAGAGAGTTTTATATATTTCAAACTAAAAGGAAGTTTGTTTAAGGTTACAAAAAAATCCAATAAATTAATTAATTTCAGTATGAGTTACTTTTTGAAGAATTTATTCATAACGAGTCTGAAGTATATTAACTTAGACAATAAATTATGTAGTCGATATATAATTAATATTGAACAATCATAACAACAAAAACTTTTGACGGGTATGATTTACCTCACAAACTTTTTTTTTTTTTTTTTGGTGAAATACCTCACAAACTTTTAATTGATAAAAGGAATGTTACAATTTATATCATTTGTTTTTCTGATAGTTGTAAGGTAGGCCCCACTTGTTGAATTTTATTATATATCAATTTTTACAGTTTTATATGTGAAAATTTAAAGAGAATTACTCTAATACTCAATTTTATTTTACTGACTGATATATTTTTAGTTGTTAAATATTTTATTATATTTATTTGAATTTTAAGCATTTAATGAGAAATGACTTTTTGTTTAGATAAGAGAAAATTAATTAAGATATGGGAAAGTTTAAGTTATGGGTGTTAAAAACATGTTAAGGATAATCTTGCTATATTTTTTAGGGGAAAGTTATATTCATAATTGTTAAAATCTCGATTTATCACTACGATTTTACGTTTTTACGATTTTTTTCATCAAAATGATTTTACCAATATTTAAAACGCTTTTACGATTTTTTACCATTTTTTTACATTACGATTTTATGTTTTAAGATTTTTTGATCTCTCTCCGATTTTACTTAAATCTCGATTTTAATAATATTTTATATTTACAAATTTTTTGTTTACAAACTACATTATGTTTGACCGGTTATACACTCTTGATTGAAGTCTGACCAGTCATATTTAGTATTATTTGTAAGTAAAATTGTAAATATAACCTTCCCCTATTTTTTATAATGACTCAAGCCGAATTACTGAAGTAATCTATAAACTCATAACAAAATCTAAAAAAATAAGACCAGAAAGAGATTTTTAAGATTTTACAATGAATAGAGTGTTTTAAGTTATCTTTATTTTTTTATTTTTTAAAACAAGAAAAAAAATTATTTATTATTTTTTGACTCTTTTTTTTTTTTTGGTAAGCATTTTTTGACTCTTTCTTTTCTCTATCCCTCTATCTAAAATCAGAGTAATAGCATAAGGTATTTAAAAACTAATAAGTATTAGGATATTGTGTAGTAAGGGAAAAAAAACATGTGAGAACTTTAAAAATTCCCATAAATTTTCGTAGAAATAAGTAAATATTCCAAAGTAAAAGGATACAAAATAATACTACGCATATATATTTCTATTCACAGTATCTCACATGATGATTAATTAATTATTAAATCTAATTAATTAATAATAATACAATAAAACATTTATCTAATTTTTAATCGCAATTTCTCCTATAACTTTTTTTAAAATTCGTGATTAAGTATATATAGATAAAGATATTATTTAAATAATTTTGAAGGGTAACTAATTATTGATATCTGATCCAAATCTTTTTCGCGAACATTACAATTAATGAAAAATGAAAACTTTGCAAATTATTATTTTACATGAACTTATGACGTAAAAATTTCATTCCATCTTGTTTATAGATTTTAAAAAGATAAAAACTTATCAAAATTCATATAAATTGTTTTCCTATAACTTGCTATATAAAGAGAATATTCGTCTCCGAATAAGTGCCATGAGGATACAAAGCCAACAAAATGAGGTGTATAAAAGTAAGTGCGAAGAGTTTACTATTAGATAAAAGTAAAGACTACACATTGACAGGGTGGAATTGAAGGAATATTTTGGATGAAGACTTGGTAGGTCAATACTCCACGTGGGTAAGGAGGGACCAAAATTAGCATGAAAAGAAGAGAGAAGTGAAAAAGAATAGGGCACAAGATCCAAGAAAGAATGGTGCCGTACCTAAGTGACGCCATTCTATTCTTTATAGTGCAAGAGTTTTGTGCCCATTTGGCAGTTCCTTCTTTAATATACTATCGCATATATATAGCTCCAGTGTCATCACTCATCACTCATCACTCACTCAACACTATTAAACTGCATGCCACAACAATTTTGCTTCACTTCCACTGCTCCTCCTTTGTTCTTCTTTCACTCAATAAACCTTACTTCAAGTCTATAACCGCCCCAAACCCAATACAGATACTGCTCCTATTCTTTAACCTTACCCTTTCTCACTGACACGCATTACACAATTTTAGAACGTTTCGCTATCAACCGTTGAAATATCAAATCAGTGTAGAATTGAATGACAGTGCCTGCCAGCCTAACTCATCTCTCTCTTCTTTATGACCCCATCAGTGTGTGTCAATTTAACCGCTGCTTACTTTTTATGGAGGTGGATAATTCAATTTTCCCACATGCTGTTGTTGTACCTTGAATCTTCGTTTTAGCTGCGGATTACCATTTTTAAATCACATTTTGCAATTTTAGATATTGTACTTGACTTTACTGTTCCTTATCTCCATCGATGTTTCTTATTATGGGTGTGAGTTGCACCACATGTATGTTTTTATCTCTTAGGTTTTATATTGAAGGGTGTGTTTCGATCATAATGTTAACCCATATGGCATTGTCTCCCGTGTCTTTATATATATAGGATCCTATGAAGCCACTCCTTTTTTCATAAATAATATCACTATCGATCTCAGTCTCGCTCTATGCTGTACCACTGTTATGCCCACATATACGTGACTCTCACCAATTATTATTATCAACTACCAAGAAAAAAAGAATATAATTAACGGGGATGAGGTCAGTCTTTAAAAAGGAAATCACGATCAGTACTAATTTTTGGATGTGAACATCGGTTGGTTTTACCTACATTGTTGTACCTATAAGGTTGCAAATTGTGCTGTTAATTATTGGTTAACACGGACTAGAGGAGGAGGGGGATGACCAATAAGAGGTGTTGAGTTTGTGTGGATATGCAACACTATTCTATCTGTGAATTATATTTTGTATCATCAACTTGTCGTGACGTGGGTCATATATATGCAAAAGAATATCCGGGGACCCCTACTTGATAATTAGGAGATATATAACTATCTTGCATTAATTTGAGTTTGATTTCTTGTTTTCTTGTTTTCTTGTCTTACCTATTAATTCCTAGTTAGTGACAATGGTTTCGCAATTGAAAAATCTATATGATGGGAATTGTGTTCTGAAAGACACGCACGGTAAAAAAAAATAAAAAAATAAAAATGCCACTCAGCCCGATGTTCATGTCGTTATATGTTGCGCTGTAACTTCAACGTGCTTGATTTACATTGCCTTGTAATACAATATGAGTTGAATATTTTTCCTTCCTTTCTTTTTTTGGGAGGAGAAACCCTATATGTATATATGTTATTAGGGGCAAAAAAGGGAACTACTATAAACGTCCTTTGAAATTGGAAAATCTTCCAAAATCAGGATCCTCTCTCCTGGCGATGGATATCTGATATTTCAACAGAATCATACCCTCTGATTCGAAATGCAATGATTATAGCACAACGGAAAAGCAGCAGTAGCTGAGCAAAATTGCTTGTTGTAAAAGTATCGAGTGGTCTCTCCCTCTCTCCCCAAACCCACACACCGGCCACATCATGAAATCCACATGCTGCAGGGAATCTCAATCCTCACACGGTCACACCATGTGCTGCACTAACTCAGGGCCTTAATATGCCTCCTAGCTAGTACGACGTGACAAACACGTTCCTCCCGCGCTACATGGCAAAACAATTAAAAATTTGCAAAAAAACCAAAACGACGGCAAAATATAAGGTTACTAGCATCTCTACTTCCCAATTTGGCTATGCTGGAGCAGGACCACAGATATATACCACTCTTCTCCTTAACCTTTTCCTCTAATCTTGATCACCCCCCATTCCTAGCTCGTCTTCCGTTTTATTGCATCTTTGCAATAAATTGTATATGGTGATTAAACAAAAAAAACTGAACTTATGAATAATTAATGAGTGTGGATTTGAATGAAAATACAACTATTCCAGAATTTGAGATCTGATAAAGACCAAGTACTTTCCGCTGCATGAATTTGTTTAAATATTAAATAAGAAGCGAGAAAGAGGTATATGTCGAAATAACAATAACAACATTCTAAATTTAACTAGGGTACCAATTTTGTTGTACTTGTGTGAAAGTGGGAGTGGATTTGGTTCCAAGATTGGAAGACTCTTCTCACATGGGGGGAAAATAAGATCAGCTATCCCACCCTCTCAAACACGTGCCCGTAACTTACACGGCATGGTGCGTGTCCCTGCCCCTCTCCCGGCCCCCTAACAATTAAACAAAACCATCTCCTCCCCCCTCTTCCTACTATAGCTACTACCCAGCTCCTTGACTTCTCCATTTTCACTACATGTTGGTTAATCTTCTTCCTTGTGTTCTTTTGTTTCTTTCTTTTTTTAATTTATATGTGTTAAATTTCGAAAAGGAAAAAAGAAGATGCAATCACACAGTCTCGGACTTAGCTGTATGCCTGTATCTCTTTAACGGCAGAGTTAAAACAAATTAAGAAACGGACACGGTTTTTAGGGGAGCTTAGAGAGAAAAGAACTCAGTGCTGTAACATTATTATGGAACCGTTTGCTCTTCACCAAGGGAATTTACAGAACTCTCCACAAGCTAGCTTTAAGCTTCTTCTCCGTATGACACGGACAAATGAACAAACGGAGCTGAATTCTTCTTCACCATTACGATACCGAAATATAAAATCTGTACACCAAATGAAATAGTCCTTTCTGGCTTTAAAGATAAGACTGAAATCAAATACCTAAACTAAACGTAAGATTATTGTCAGCAAAGTGGCATGTTCAAATCGATCATTGTCTTCTTTCTTCGGTTGCGCGACAAGAAGAACAAGAGCCAAAGCGGGACACATACGTCTATGGCTTCAGCTGAATCCACTCGTAGCGTCCTTCCAAGGGCACGTCTTTCACAATATCATAATTATACCTGCAAAAGAATTTTTAAAGGAATGATGGTTCAATTTGATATACTAATTATGATGTGAAAATTCAAAATAAAATAAAATAAAAATTAAAAAAAGAAGAAGAATTCCTTGTTGATTTAACTTACTTGTCTTGAAACTGTTTCTGAATGTCTTTCTCGGCGGTGGCAAAGAATTCTTCGAGCTCCAACTCCGTTGGCATGTTTTGCGCCGTTGATAAAGGATGGCGATAATTGGTTTCCATTGACTCCAGCTCTTGTAAATTTTCTGGAAGCTCGCTCGAGTGGCTCATCTCTCTCCTGTGCGAGACCAACAATGGTGAACAAAATATTATGGTTCAGAATTATAGGATGTACACGTGTGTGTATCTATATATATATATATATATACACACACACAAAGAAGAGGTTTTGAACGGAAGATATTATGACTGTTGAGACACCAATTTATTACATACTTTTTCAAACTCAAAAAGATTTGAATTATTTAAAACTTTGAAAAGAGAATACTATGAACTAGCTTGAAGCAGTTTCAAATTTAAAAACCTTTCAAATTCTTCACCGCAGTTGCACGTTGAAGTTTCAACTTGAGCGCTCTCCACCTGAAAAGAAACGTTGGATGCGGTGCATTAAATTTGGAGAGAAAAAAAAAATTGAATGAGTGAAAGAGTAGGACATATAATTAAAGAAGCAACAAAACGCTAGTTCAACAAAATCTATAACGGCATTTAATTGTTCAGTTCAGAGAATTTAGAAAACGAAACAGCTCTTTAATTTTTTTCTTACCTCCAGATCTATCAATTTGATCCTCTCCTCATCGAGGCCAATGGATCCGTTGCTAGAACAACAAGACGCCGGGAATTCAACGGAGGAAGGACTGGAGCAGCTTTGTTCCGTCTCAAGTTCCGGCAGAACTGTCGCCGTCTCCAGCTTGACGACGGCAGCACTCCTACTCCGACTCTTGAGCTGAACGAAAGCTGACGATGCTGTTGAGAATTTTTGCTCTTCGTTGCTGTTGCTGTTGTTGATCTTCGTTCTCTTCGGTGTTCGTGCAGCTGAACTGGTAGCTCCCATGGCTAATGCTGCTCGAGCTCGTGTCTTGACACCGACCTCAGCGATCTCCATTGATATAAATCTCTCAGCAAGTACGTGCTCCTGCGATTCTTCACCTCACCCTCCCTTGTCAGGTCTTCATGCTCGCTGCTGTGCGTTTTTCTGATTTTGTTAATGTAAGAGAGAGAAAGAGAGAGAGAAGAGAGAAGGGGGAAGTGTGGTGTGTGCGTAATTTGGCTCGCGCGCGCGTGGAGTACGGAGACGACGAAAATTGTGATAATGACGAAAGGGGTTCAACGGTTGGGATTGGGTAATTGCTTTTTATTAGTGGTGCTGGTGATGGTTGTGTGTGTGTGTGTTGTGCGTCGTGGTGGTGGTCCAGTCTCCGTTAATAGTGACGGGGGAATCTGGAAACGGGGAATTTGACGGCGCCGTTATGTGGATCGAGAGTGGGGTTGAAACCTGCGCCGAAGCAAGGTCAAATGGAGGAGTGACACGTCATAGAAACTGACGGTGCAAGGAGCCGAAACGGAAGATGGAGTTGTTGGACTTGGAAGAGGATTAAGGCTGTGACAGAGGAAGGGGTGACCGTGCAGACTGCGGTGGGATTACACCGCAAGTAACGCAGATTTTGCGCTGGAAACTAGAATCATGCGGTTACGATGAAAAATCATCATACATTTGCGTTGCGTTGCGTTGGAGAATTCCGTTTGGTGGAGAACCGGTCTTAAGCAAAATAATTGTGTTCAAAACCGAATTACGGATATATCCCTCCTCTGAATAGTGAAACGCAAAAATGCCATTTCACTACTCCCCACCATGTCTCCTGTTTCTGTGTCGTCACCACACCAAGCAAGCACACGAGCACTTGGCGCTTATCGTCCTTACATTTTTATGCACGATTCATTTTTATCCTTTACCTTTTTAACTTCCTCCTTTCCTTATTAGTGTGAGTGAAGATAAAAATAACTTTTTTTTAAAACATGATTAGTTTATCTCTTACATTAAATTTACAATTTTCCGAATAGATGATTTGTAGAAATATTGAGGGGGTGTTTGGTGGAGGAGAAAAAAAAATTTATTCGAAAATCACGATTTCCTCCAAGAATATGATAAAAAATGAGTTTCACGTGAATGTTACTTAAACGTTGTTTGATAGACTAACATATTTCCGGTAATATTGGGTTAATTTTCTTGATGCTATCTTTAGTTGTATTAAATTTTCTCTTGCCATACAAATTCTAATATACCACCTCCTGGATGGTATTCCTAGATTATTTTTTCAAAAAAATTTACACACAAAATAAAATTTAGAAAATTTTAAAAATCTTGTACCAAACGTGAATAAATAAAATTATCACTTTCAATTTCTCAGAAATCCTAAAAAAACTTTTGTAACAAACGGCCCCTTAATTTCAATCCTAATTCAGCCTAATTAGGATATCAATTTAATTTTAATCACAATATATTTCGAATTATACTAATCCTAATTCCGACGTAAACTTGACTTTAGTCACACTGTCTCAAGTAATGTAATTTCACATTAATTTTAAAGTTAATTTGAGAAGTGAACCACATTTACTCCAACTAAGAGTTGTGAATGCACCGCATCCTGGATTCCTGGTAATTCTTTTAATTCTCTCATTCAACACATCATATATTTGTCCATTTCCTTGATAGTGCTCCACTTTTTTTCTTTTGAACAGAAAGGGCTATAGCCTATGTAGCACCGATACGACACGCGACACGTGACACGACACGACACGACACTCCGACACGTCAATCCTAAAAATTTATGGATTTCGACACGTTGGGACACGTTTTAATATTAAATAATATTTTTAATTTATATAGTGTATATTTCATTTAATATTTAATAATTTAACAAAAAAATGAAACTAAATTAATAATACCCATCAACACGTTATAAAGATGGAAACTTTAATAAAAAAAATAAGAACTGGGATGAGAGAGAGATATAATATCAGATAGAGAGATCAAATCATATTAGAGAGAGATCAGAGAGAAGAAGATACAACAAGAGCGTGATAGGAATTGACAACAATGATGCTGAGATGATCTCTTATCTACTTAAGGGGAAAAAAGAAAAAAAGAAAAAATTGATCAGGTGGAAGCTTTATTAATATATTTTAACTTTTAAAAAAAATTTAAAAAAAAATTAAAAAAAAAAATAAAAAAAAAATAAAAAAAAATTACGAAAATGCCATTTGACCGTGTCGGACACGGTCAAATTCGCGTGTCGGAATGGTCAACGTGTCGGAAAAAGTCAACCGCGTGTCCGACACCGTGTCGGAGCGTGTCGCCGTGTCGGAGCGTGTCAGACCCGACTCTTCCTGTTTTTACAAGTGTCCGTGCTTCCTTGGCTATAGCCCAAACAAACAGAAAAATTAAGAACCTCTTTTTTTTCTTTTTTTTTTTGGAAATAAAAAATTAAGAACCTCTAACACGATGCAAAGAGCGCACAGGGCTATAGTGCTCCACGCTTAATTGAATATAAGATATTTTAAAATGACAAAATAGATTGGAGTTGTAGAAGAGTGAAGGAGGGACATGGTACACTGCAGTCATTTAATTTAGGGCCATAACGGCTATATATTTGACGAAACTGGTAAGTATAGAAATTAAATGTAGAATAAGGTCAAATACGTTTGAGATACGCATGTCGCACATGTGCATTCACGTACACGTGGGTCACATAGATCAATTGCCAGGACTTGTCTCTACCTACGTACATCATCCATTCCATCCTCCGTGCAAATCTTTTTTTTTTTTTCACAAAAAAAAAAGAGATAAAAAGAAATAACAGCTTAAAATATAAATAAAATAACTTGAGAAATTTTTAATATGATCAAACGGTTCTCAAAAGAATTTAATCTCGCTTTAGTCACAATTCATTTTTTCTTTCCAGGTTTTTTTTTTTTTTTTGGTATAAGATTAACATTTATTTGGGGAAACAAGACTCTTCCCTTTCATAAATACTTTTTTACAAGTTCGAGCCCTTGATGTTGTAAAAACTCTTCAATCACTAAAAGAATTTTATTTTTATTATTTGAGCCACTTTTTATAAGTTAATTAAATTACAAGTCTTTAATTTTCACTTCCCCCCCTCTTTATAGGGACCTTTAATTAGTCTCTTTTACTCACACACATATAAATATACTTTAGATACTATCAAATTTTGCATATGAAATAAATAAATTACTAGACTGTCTCAAATACCTTTGAAAACCCTGGGCAAATGGAGAGGGGTGTTAAAGTTTGTTGGGTCCGTGACCCATGATGGACTCCTGACTCAATTAATAGGTGTTCTAATCTCTTGCGTATAAGATATGATTAGATGCTGAGTCGTCAGAGTCAAGCGATTAAAAGCAGACATGAAAAAAGAGAAACTTGCAAGCCAGAAACGAAGATCCTAAGGAAGAAATCCAGCATCATATTGCTGAAGAAAAAGAATACTATGTAGATTAAAATTATTTATCCTCTTTAAAGATAAAAACACTTATTTGAGACACTTGTTTAACTTGTCCTTCTAAAAGGTGAAGTCCTCCAATTATTGAGTTAATCTTTTGTGTAATCCATTTTTCATAATGGAAGTTTTTTGGATTTGGTCATATGATTTTTACTTTTCACATCGAAGATAATTTCCATATTAAAAGTTTTGATGTTCTCTTATTTCCTTATCTCTGTTTATTTTTATTTTTGTTATTTGTTCATCAACACTTCAACATGGAGAAGACGAGGCTATTTGACATAGAGATCGGGCTCTGATACACAAGAAAGTTAAACCAACCCCTCAAATCCAAGGGGAGGAAAAGGAACATATCATTTGCCATCAGCTCAGCACATTTTCCACAAAGACCAAAGCGAGCTTTTTGTGCCCCTTTCCTTTATTTTCTTGAAAACTTTCCATTTGATTTATTTTTTTCTTGTAATTTCTTTGTCCCTTTAATTTGGCTTGAACCTTGTTGTGTGATATATGTTTTGGATGACTTCAGTTTCCAGGGGCCCATTCCATGCATTCTCTCATGTGTGGACAGACACAAAGTACCATGATTTGCATGCAGGTTCCGTTACAAAGTATTAGGCGACAATTTACGATAAATAAATAAGTTGTAAGAAATTGACAAAAAGGGAGACTAGAAGTCCATCAGCTAGTTACTCCTCTGGGTATAGGTAATATGAGCAAAAATAACTACATGGGTAAACAGTCTAAGAAAAGTCCGAGTGCTTATATAGTTAAGAAAATGAAAACTTAACCCCGAAGCCATGCTCTCAATAATTTGTTTAAGTCAGGGGTTCAAATCTTATTGTAGCTCAGTTACTTAATGTGTCTCTCTCCTCGAATGAGGGATTAGTCTTATCCTTCTTTCGGTGACAAAGCTCAATGCATTTATTGTTCTAATAAAAAATAATGTTCGGGACCGTATACCAAAGACAATGTGACTATATATATATATAACAGGATTTATAAATCTTATGTTACTGCACCAAAATATTTTTTGCAGCTGAGACAATAAAGAGGCCGGGATCACAATTTTTTTTCTCTTTCCTCATCTCACTTTCTCTTTCTTTTTCACTGTCTCTGCTGCAAAAACTTTTTTAGTGCAGCAACATAAGATTTATAAATCCCATATATAATTTACATTCATTGAAAATAAGCATTTTTTTAGTGTGTATTCTCGTACTCTCTTATATTTTATTTATAATCATACTAAAATAATAATTTTAAAATCTACATAAATTGATAAATATCCTTTATTTATTTATTATTTATTTTGCATAAGATTCTCTTCACACAATTTATTCAGTATGTCTTTAAATAATTAAACTAGTTTAATAAAGAAATTGATAAAAAGGTAAGTAATTAATTATAGGGAAAAACTAGAGTTATGTAACTAGAAAACATAAATATTTTCAGTTGACACAAAACAACTGATGGACCCACATGTGTTTTTTCAAAAAAAAGAAAAGAAAAGAAAAGCATAAAAATCAATATATCAACTGGACAAATTTGTGATTTTGATGTAATATGACCGTAGTTTAACCCTTAATTATATGTTCTACTTCCAAAAGGTTTCAGCAGCTTATAAAATTGGGAGATTCTCCATAGTTTTCTTTAATTTTTTGCTCATTAATTATGCAAAACTCATAATTACGTGAAATCGTAAGCTGTGCCTGCAGGATGACACGTAGTATACTAGTATATATACATACTGATATTCTTATAGGGCACAAGGTGTTAAGATACCATAATAGAAATAAAGGATTTTAGATTCCTTAGAACAATTAGACAGGAGGATATTCAAGATTATCCAAACAGTGAAACAGGATTTATCAGAGGGAGATAACTCACTTTGATAAGATTCGAAACATCAGGTAAATAGTTTACTTAATTTTGCAACTTTAGTAAAATGTTTGTACATCCTGGTTCAAATTAAAGGTTACCTAACATTACAACCTCTTTAAATCAAAGGTGAGATAACAATAAAGTAAGATTCCCATGAGGATAATGGACAAGGGCACATGGTTTGTAACCTTAATTTAAAGAGTGGGCACGGAAAACTATAATAGATTTATACTTGTATTAGACTAGGGTTTTGAGCGCCACTAATTATTGCCCTCATT